TAGAATCCCAAAACACACCAAAGACATCTTTTGCCAGGCAGGGTGGCTTAGATTGGGTTCCCAGAACAGACTCTGAGAGAGAATTCTGTCCAATGGTTTGTTGAGGAGTGCTCATAGGAGAACTGCTCACAGAAGGCCGTTGCAACTAACATCTCAGCTGATCCTACAAGAGGCCTTTCCAAGTTGTCCCAAATAGAGGGAAGAAGGCTGGGCCTTTATATCTCTGCATAGCAATTATTTGCTATGGGATACCCCTGTGAAAAGACTTAATCCTGAGGGAATCAGTTCCCTGTGACTGACTGCCCATTTTGTGAGGGGTGCAGCTGTGAATCAGTATCTTCAGAAGCTGAGGGATGGCTGTGATTTCTCTGCAATGGGATCTAGCAGGTACACCACATATCAGAACACAGGGTGCCTCTTCTGATTGGTTCTGAGTCCTGTCAGCATGATAGTTTCCTTGCTATCTAGTATGACAAGAAATTTCAGGCTTATTTTATACTTTTCCTGTTTCATACCTGTAAATTTTTCAAGCCATTTCTCCAAGAAGCCCTGGTTTCTTTTGGTGGCAAATGGTATTTCCTTTTTTGTTGTTGGTGTTGTTCTTTTTTTGGCAGGGGGCGGGGGATGGAGTTTTGTTCTTGTGGCCCAGGCTGGAGTGCAATGGAGCAGTCTTGGCTCACTGCAACCTCTGCCTCCCAGGTTCAAGAGATTCTCTTGCCTCAGCCTCCCAAGTAGCTGGAATTACAGGCACCCGCCACCACGCCTGGCTAATTTTTTTGTATTTTTAGTAGAGACGGGGTTTCACAATGTTGGCCAGGCTGGTTTCGAACTCCTGACCTCAGGTGATCCACCAACCTCGGCCTCCCAAAGTGCTGGGATTACAGGCATGAACCACCACGGCCAGCTGGCAAATGGTATTTCAAGACGACTAAAAATGCTTATTGCGCTCTATGTCGCTTGCCCCTTATGACTAGAAACTCATAGGGATTTTTGTTGTTTGTTTTTACTTCCTTTTTGTTCAAGTCTCGCATTTTTAGTGAAACTGAGTGCCTGCCAGTCAACATCTCCTCTCCCTGTGTCATCTCTCTCTTTCAGGTTCCACCCAGCCACCAAGCTCCTTACCTAGGAGTCCTCGTAATGACCACCTCTGTTCCCCACCTGCCATCTACATCTTATCTGTGGATGAAGGCCAGTGCCTGATTCATAAAAGATAATGCATAAGTATTTGTTGGAAAGAGTAAAATCAACTAATGTTTACTTGGCACTTGATGTTTTGTTCCCTGGGGGGCCATGCCCATCTTTTCTGGTAGCCTGAGGCTATTCCCCAGTAGTCAAGATGCTTGAATGGAATTTCTATTCTCCTATAACAAGAAACATGCTCTAATATTGGCAGACCAAAGGGCACCCCATCAGGAACCATAAACTTCCTGGAGCCTGGGACTTTCCCCACTGCAGGGGCTGTAACCCTGGCCTACCCAGTTGTGTTTTTTCCCCATGATGAAGGCAACCTGGAAAGCAAAAGGGGGACAAAGCAATGAAGTGAAAGGGCAGTGAGAGAAAAGAGTAAGGCAATAGAGAATATATGAGCACCTATTATCTATTATCTATTATCTACCTAATTATCTATTCATTCGCTCACTCACTCACCAAATAGTTCCTAAACTCCTGCTGTGTTCCACGCCTGGAGCTGGAGGATGGAAGATAAGGAAAGATTAGACAGAGTCCCACGGCCATGAAGAACAACATGTCAACCAGTGGAAACAGAGAAATTAACAGGCACAGAGACTGCAGAGTCCAGGGAGCCCAGAAGAAGGCACATTACATTACACAGCCCAGCAGAGTCCACAGGAGTGGTTTGTGGAAAGGGGTAATGCTTATATTGGGGCTGAACTGATGAGGAAGAAGAAAGAAGGAAATGGGAAGCCATACTGGCATTCCCAGCAGATGGAACATGGAAAAGGGTCAGTCTGTTCTGAAAGAAAGATGCAAGTAACAGAAATAGGTGGCAAGTCCTGGGCATCCAACTCTTCTTCATGGCCTTTTCTGTAGGTCATGACCTAGAACTTGTTGGGTTTATCTGTAACCAGGTAGAGTTTGAAAAGCAGAGTGTTTTCACTCACTGAGCCCCAGCTGCCTCAGGCAGCAGGTTCTCTCTTCTCTCTCTCTCTCTCCCTCCCTCCCTCCCTCCCACACTTGTTACAGGGCAGCAAGGAGAAGCAGGAAGATGTCTGAGTGTGCCACACCTCAGTCTCTGTCCCTCTTGATGCTCCTGATGGCAGGGTTTGTTAAACTCTAGTACCACATTCCCAGCTACACGCCGATGGCAAAAAAAAAAAAAAAAAAAAAAAAGAAGCAGAACCCACTGGGTAAAGCCACCTGTCAGACTTAATGAGCACAGAAAACTCCTCATCCCTGGCTCTGCCAGAGTTTAATAAAAACCATGAATATCTTCCTATTAAATGGGAAGCCACTTCTTTTATAGAGTATGTTACATACAACCTCACACCCCAGTGAGCAGAGCTTCAGAAACACAGGAGACTCTCCAAACATTTATTTAGTTGATTTCTGAAAACTCCACACTCCATAACAGACTCAATACAACTTGTAGTGTCCCTGAAAGTGGCCACTAGGGCACTGAGGAAAGAGGTGCAAGAATGGGTTGCCCCAAGAGAGCTGGTGTGGCAGAGGATGTCCACTCGCAGATGGATCCACACTGGGTTGCAGGGGATCTTCTCCCAGCCCCAGACAGTGGAGCCAGAGTGGAAGTCCCAGGCCTCACATCTCTGCAGGGACCTGGTAACGCCTCCTTCACTCTCTGAGCAATCACCCAGCTGGCTGGTTTCTCAAAGTCTCAGGTGGGAGCCCTGACACCAGAACCACATTGAACGCTTGCTTCACCGTTGATGATGTCTCTTCTTTGATAGATGTTCCCCCAGATATTGATGAGTCACCGTGGCCCACCTGGCAGGGCGGGTGGCCCTCTAGCTGCAATCAGTTCACTCCCTCCTTCCCACCAGCCAGAGCATGACCTTGGTGCAGGCATGGCTGAGGCAGGTGACCAGAGCACAAGGCAGGGGTACTTTCCAAGGCCCAGTCTCCCTGCCATGCTCTATTGTATGGATCTCCAGAGGGCCCATGGATTCCAACTGGGGTTTGTTGAAAAGGCATTCAGAAGGAGTGGGAGGTTGGTCAGAGGAGATACCTAAGTGTGAGACTCAGAAACAGGGAAAGTAGAATGGGATCTAATCACGGGGTCACCAGGATGCCCAGGGGCATCATCAGGCACAGGACTAGGATGAGGGAGTCTGCTGAATTCAGACAGGAAGCTTGTCTCAAGTGATCAATAATCCATTTCTTGTAGAAACTAACTTCTGTGTAAACTCCAGGATATCCTTTGTTACTGCAGCCAATGCCCCAGCTCACAATCCCCACCTGGAACGATGTGCCATTTAATTCACAGACCAGGGGCCCCCCAGAATCTCCCTGGAAAAAGAAAGATAGTCACTGTAGGAAAGAAATAGGATCCACATCAGAGCAGGCTAATTGCACTGCAATGGGTTGCAGAGCTAGGCACTCAGGGGGCTTCCCCAGGAACCCCTAAGACCCTCCCTAGCCTTGGGTATCTGTCAATATGAGATCTGAGAATTGACAATTTCCAATAAACCAAAATCATGTACCTACTAAAAAGGTGTGTTCCAAAACACAGAATATACATAATGAAATCGTGCCTACTCTGAGACACTAATGAGTCAGGTGCTTACCTGAGTATACTGCCTGCCACACAGAAGGGGCTCAAGACATGGAGCATGTATTGTTAGTGGGACCTGCCTGATTCACCCCTCCTCCCACTCCAGGCTGTGTCAGCTGCTCTCTCCTGAAGGATCAGGTAGGCTGCCCAGGAGAGCCTTGGTGGCTTGTCCTCATGTCCCATTACCATGAATAAGGGTAACGGACAGGCTAGGAGATAACCCAGGCCCTACTGGCTGGGGATGAGGAAGCTTTAAGGAGACAACTACAGTGCTGAGGTAGCAAGAGGCCCATGAGCTGACCTGACAGGAATCCTTCCCTTGGTCATTATAGCCACAGACGGTCCCCTTCTTGACCACGTCATTCCTAATTCTCATCTTTTCCTTGAATACCTTATTACATTTCTCATGAACCATAATGCTTAGTTCAGCCTCCTGAAGCTCAGTTACTATCTTTTTTGATGAATCTGCAGAGAGACAATTTACAACTGAGTGGGTCTGCATAAGTGGGACAGGACAGGAGTACCCCTTACCCACTCTGGGTCTCAATACCGTGTGTTCACACACAGACACCCTCTTAGGCATTGGATATTGTCCCATTTGACAAAGGAAGATATGAGGCCCAATGTTGACATGGGGAGACAAGGACATAAGATCCAAACAAAAACAGGGGAAATAAGAACAGACAGGAAAGGGAAGGCAAGGCATTACTACCCTGAGAAACCAAAACCAAGCATCTGTCACTCTGAATAGTAGTACTAATAGTGACACAGTATCCTGTACATCAGTAAAGCATCTATACTTTCTAGAGCAGGATCACAGACTGTCAGACAGGTAATGGCCCAAAGGTACCAAATCCAGCCTCTCCCCAAGGATAGGAGGCCCTACACCTCACTGACAGGTCTCTGGCCTCTTCTCACACACAGGAAGCTCCTTATCTACCAAGGTAGGTACTTCCTGGGAGGGACACCTTAAAAGGGCAGACAGCTAGCTCATCACCCCCCGAGTTAAAATCCACCCGAGAGAGAACCCACCATGCCTGGCACCCAAATCCCCAGGTCCTGACAAACCAAAAGAATTTCATAGACCCATTGTTAAAATTATTCCCTGGCAGCATCTACTGCACCTTCCTCCCTGACTTACTAAAAAAAATCTGCCTCCCTGTCCCTCCCTTTAGCTTGTAGATCAACCCCAGGGCACCAAGCAACATTTTCCCTGGTCTGGGGCTGCTGTAGTCTTGCTTCATAGTCTCACCTGTTTCATTCACTTTGCCCCATCCTGTCACCCAGCACTTCGTATCAGCTTGTACCATGAAAGCCTGTTCAGGGAGGCACACAGGCTGGATGTGCGTGGAGTAATTCACAGGGAAGTGAAGCAGAGCAAGGGCAATGTCATTTTCAATTATTCCAGAAGACGTAAAATATCGGTGGATAACAATGTCACGAACTGGGACTACAAGTGCTGTTTTGGAGCGATGATGCACATTTGTGTCTCCCAGCTTCACTGTGTATTCCAGATGACTGCAGGAAGATCCTCCAGGGTCTACACTCTGCTTCCACACCTTCCAGGTGCTTCCCGCCTGGTACCATCTTCCTATGCCAGCCAGCAGCTACCTCCCTCTCTCCAAACCACATCCCTCCAGGACCCCTGACCACTTTAGCCGGTGGGTCCCTGATCAGCTGCGGCAGCAGCAGCACCTGGAAACTTGTTAGAAATGCTAATCATCAGGTCTCACCCAGACTGGATAAAAACTATGGGGCTGTCACCCCCTTTTACAGATGAGGAAGAGGAGGTTCAGGAAGGGGGACAGACTGGCTCCAGTTCCCGCAGCCTGATCAGGGCCCAAGCTCTGAGCCCCACTCACCCAGAGATGCAGTGGGCGGCAGTAAGCACCCAGCGCCTGGCAATAAGGGAGCCTCCGCAGATGTGTCTGTTGCTGGTCTGCAGGCTCACCTGCCAGGGCCACTTCCTATCTGGGCTCCGCAATCCTCCAATTATCCTTGCAAACCGCTTGCCGCAGGCTGGGGCAGGTCAATGAAAGGAAGGGACTAAAAGTAACGCTGCTGTAGCACCTTCACCATGAGCCTCAGAACCCTCAAAGCAAGGCCTGCATCCCCTGAGGCTCTTCGGAAAATGGCTGTGTCCTCCCAGGTCTCAGGGAGCCGCTCCGCCCCTGAACAGATCGTGTCCCCTGAGCCCCTCCTCCTCTAGGGCAGGTCCCCTCCCCCTCAAACCAGGCCAGTTCTCTGCGGCTGGGCATGGCCCAGAAGCGTCACCTGACGTTTAATGCTACTGTCCCGTTGGTCCATGTTGATGATAGTGTGTGGGATTGCCAGAGCCTGGTAAGATCAGACTCACCTAAGGGAAATAACACCGGAGCGGGGGTCACTGCCTTCCGTCTGGACTGACCGGCCGCTTGGGATCCTGGAGCCCCTACAGGTGGCGGCTCCCATCCGCTCGCTCCGGGGTCCTGGCCGCCTGGCCCTGAGGGGAGAGCGGAGGGGAAGAACAGTGCTACGCCTCCCTGCGCACCCGCCCTGCCCGCCCGGGCCTCGTCGAGCCATGGCTGAAGAAGCAAGAGCCAGGCCAGGAGCCCCAGGGAGCTGCCGCCCTGGGACGTCATGGATACTGCCGGCAACCTCAGCCTCTGTGGTGGCGCCGCCTCGCAGCGGTTTCCACGCCTGCCATGCGTTCTGGCTGGAGCCTGGAGCGCCCGCGAGGGACGAGGGGGCGGGGCCGGGCCACCGGACCGTCCGAGGGGCGGGGCCTAGGCAGGGTCGCGCGGTGCAGTCCTGACTCAGATGAGTCCTCTCTTCGCAGCTCTCCGTGGACTCAGGTCCCTCCACCTCATCTGGCGCCTCCCTGGCATTCAGTGTCTCCTGGCCTAGGTCCCTGGCCTCAGAGTGGCAGCTGTCCAGCCCTTTGTTCATACAAAGACGCGTCCACTACTCTACGGCAGAGCTTCCTCCAGGCCAGGACTTTACCAGAGTCTCCCTCCCTTATTTGTCTGCAATAAAAATTAAAACTCTTTAACATGCATGTTGCACTTAACATTACTAACCACTGCGTTAGAGACGATACTGCTACCTTTTTGAAAATCAACACCCACATGAAAAGATGTTCAACATTGAGGCAGGATAGATAGACCATGTCCTCGGGACGCAGCAGCCGTGATGACGTTTCCACGATCAACGCCATAAACCTCAGCATTCTCATTGTAATTGAGCTCATTCAAGCAAAGCTATCTTCAGCAAGAAATTTCCCCTGTAGAGTGCATGCACACTTCGATTTTACCTTTTCTCAAACTGACCCTTCTTTCATTATCACAGTAAAAAGCACACCCCGGGTGTAGATTTCAGATGCTGATGAGATGTGCGATGTATGAACAAGTATGCACAGCTACTGTGCATGTACACCCATAGGATCACCCAGAACATGCTTACTAATAACACCTCTTTCCACTCCTTATAAATAACCATGTAATACTCCCATAAAGAGAGTCTCCCTAGTGCCAGTCTTCACTGTCTCATCCTTATAAGCAGACCACTCTGAATCATCTCTCTCTCAGGGTGTACTGTCTATTCTGCACTTAACTTTCAAAATATTCTTTTCCCTTTACAATAAATTACTCTATGCTCCATCTCCTTTGCTATGCATCTCTTATTTAAATTTTTTTAAACCAAGAAGACAAGAACCAAAGTATCACAACAGCTGTCAACAACATCATGAGTCAATAACAAAATGGAAATTAAAACCACAATGAGATATCACTATACACCTATCAGACTGGCTAAAATAAATAATGGTGACAACATCAAATGCTGGCATGGATGCAGAGATATTGGATCACTCATACATTGTGGTGGGAATATAAACTATTTCAGCCACTCTGGAAAACAGATTGGCAGTTTCTTATACAACAAAATAAGCAATTACTATACAACCCAGTAATTATACTCCTGGGTATTTATCCCAGAGAAATAAAGATGTTCACACACACAAACCTGTATAAAAGTTTGTAGTATCTGTACTCACATAGCCAACATCTGGAAACAATCCTGTAATGAACAGAATAATGGCCTCCCAAAAATGGGCACATTCTAATCCCTGGAATCTGTGAATATTTTACCATACATGGCTAAAAAATGTGATTAAATCAAGCATATTGAGACAGGGGATTATTCTGGATTATCCTGGTGGGCCCAAGGTAATACCAAGTATCCTAGAGGGAGGAAAGAGAGTCAAAGTCAGAAAAAAAGATGTGATGTCAGAAGCAGAGGTCAGAGAGAGAGTTTTGAAGATGCTATACTGCTGACTTCAAAGGTTAAAGAAGGGGCCACAAGCCTAGGAATGCAGCAGCCTTTAGAAACTGGAAATGGCAAAGAAACAGATTTTCCCCTAGAGCCTGCAGAAGGAAGACAGCTGGCCAACACCTTGATTTTAGGACTTCTAACCTCTAAACTACAAGATAACACATTTGGGTTGTTTCAAGCCACTACATTTATGGTAAATTATTACAGCTATAATAGGAGATGAATACAAACCCTAATGTCCTTCAGTGGGTGAGCAGTTAAACAAATAGTGGTACATTCATACCACAGAATACTACTCAGCAAAAGATAGAATAAAATATCAATAGAGGCAACAACTTGAATGAATTTCCGGGGAATAATGCTGAATCAAAAAAGCCAATCCCAAAAGGTTGCATACTGTATTGTTCCATTTATATAACACTTTTGAAAAGATAAAATTTGAGAAATGAAAAGCGGATTAGTGATTGTCCAGAGTTAGGGAGGTAGGCATGGTTTTGTAAAGGCGATACAAGGAATACTCTGGTAATGAAATTGTTTTGTGTCTTGACTATGGTGGTAAAGACTCACACATATGATTAAATTGGATAGAATTATACATACATCTTGACTTGCACACCCTCACAAATTAGTACAAGTAAAATTGGAGAAATCTGAGTAAGATAGATGGATTGTATCAATGTCAATATCCTGGTTGTGATGTGGTACTATCATTTCTCAGGATGTTACCACTGCGGGAACTGGGTAAATGGTATAGAGGATCTCTATTATTATTTCTTACAATTGCATGTGGATCTATTCAATTTCATAAGTTATCTCAAAAAAAATTTTAAACTTAATTTATAAAACAACACACTCAATCATAAAGCTTTAATAGGATAAAAATTTGGCCAGGCACAGTGGCTCACACCTGTAATCCCAACACTTTGGGAGGCTGATATGGGGGGATGACTGGAGCCAGGAGTTCAAGAACAACATGGGCAACATAGCAAGACTTATTCTTTACAAAAAAATAAAAACTAGCCAGGCATGGTGCTACACACCTGTAGTCCCAGCTTCTCAGGAGGGTGAGGTGGGGGGGATCACCTGAGCCTGGGATGTCGAGGTTGCAGTGCGCCATGATTTCACCACTGCACTCTAGCCTGGGCAACAAAGAGAGACCCTGTCTCAAAATAAAACAAAAGAAATAAAGATAAAAGTTTGTATACAGTATTGTTATTGTCTAATCTTGACCCCAGAATATACACTTCTAAAACCAATTAGCCTATCTGATATAAACATTAGCAATATATTATTATTATTAAGGCAAGTTATTTTCATTGTAGAAAAATAAGAAAAAAAAACAAGCAAAACGAAGAGGGAAATCTCATTATCTTCACAACTGGGCACATATTTTGGAGCCCATTTTTTCATATAACAATATATTCTGTTAAAAATCTAAAAAAGCTAAAAAAATCAACATCAGAGTACAATTTGCCATCTTTTCTAGTCATCTTTAGGTTTACTGATCCAACCTTTGTTTATCTCAAAACGTATTAGAATACTTCTTTTGAAGTCATTGTATATTATTTGCTTGAAGGAGAAACATTCTTTGCTGCAGTCCGATCTCAACATCCAAGTTCTAGATCTTAAGCCATGTCCAGGCAACATTTTTCACAATCTCTGCTGTTTTTCTCCTGTGCAGTTGATGTATTCAACCCAATTACAACCATGTTAAAGAACAGACTTGCTTTGTTTTTTTCAGCATCCAGAACCATATGGGAAGCTACGATTATCTCTTCATAGGTGGATGAACAGATTAACCAATAATTGTAATACGGTATGATAAGTATCTTGAATGAAAGACATGTTCGATATCTTTTGAAAGCCAATTTTTCAGTGACTATCAACATTTAAAATAACATCCTACCTAGTAATTTCTCTGCTGGTTTATTCTATACAGATATCCTTTCAGAAAACATGCCAAGTATGCCAAAATATATATAACAAGGCCCTGCAGCAACTTTTGTAATAGGAAAGCACCATTTAAAAAAATGTAAATTCTCATCAATAAGACGCTGGTTGTAAGGAAATATCTTCACGACCATGGAGTAGAGAATTATTTCTTATACAAGATACAAAAAACACTGACCATGAAGAAAGATTAATAAATGTGACACCTTTAAATTAAGAACCACTGTTCATCAAAAGGCACCATAAAAATTTGTGGAAAAAATTAAAAGCCACGTGGTGGGGGGAGATATTTGCAACACACATAACCAATTAAAAACCAGTATCCAGAATATCAAAAGAACTGAAAATCACTCACAATATGGCAGATACCTTGAAGGCACTGCACAAAAGAAGAAATACAAATGGCCAATAGAAGTGACAAAGGAAGATTCAGAAATAAATGCATGTAAAAAATAAATAAGTTTCTTTGTAGGGTGCGAGAAAGTCAGACCTCAGAAGAATCGATTCGTCAAACCTATACAGTGAGCATTTAAAGGAAAAAATGCCACAAAATTACCAAATCACCAGGCTTAAATGAGTCTGTTCAAACTGAGAACACAGCAACTTTCTCACATGACCATCATGTTCACAAAGGTTATAACATATATTGAGACATCAGCAGAGTAAAATTAACAGACAAAATCATTTTTGTTTTGTTTTGAAGTCTAGGTTTGCAGGAATATTGACAGTTTTATTAGTTTGGTATCACAATTAGATAGGATGCCCCTGTTACATTTTGGTTTATTTCTTGAATCTATCCCCCGACTATGCCATGGGGAAATACTTGGGCATTAGAAGTAAGGTAGAGTGTTGGTTTTTGCTTTTACAGACCCCCCTTGTGGTAAAGTTCCTTCCATTAGGGCAAATTTCACCAAATGAGTTG